GGGGGGAAGAAAAAAAAAAGTTGATTACAGAAATGAATTTATATCTTGTAACTGTGCAGATCAAGTTGACCTTTTTAAACATTAAAGAATTACTGAACAAAAATCCCTAATGCCATTTCTTCTACTGGCACGTCTAAGTCTGCTATGTATGAACTCCACATTGAACAATCCTATCTAAGCTGTAATTCAGACTGATAAATTCAGTGGTTTCTCTTGCCAGTTAGCTCTCTTGCCAGTTCGCTCTCTTCCATGAATTTACCATTAATTTAGCTCTCCTCCAGAAATGCTATGGCATGGTACAAATGTACTACTAGTCTTCTAAAAGACAGTAATAAATAACATAACAAGAATTAATTGAAATCCAGAATCAAACACTGAAAAAGGCAATGATTACTTTTGGCATGATCCCACGGCTTGCTGAAAATCTAACATTTGGTAAGGACACTGATCTACTGAAAAACAGGCAAGAGCTAGAATATTTCTCTAGCTGAGTTTGAATATTGGAGAAGATAAAAACAATGTAAAACAAAGAGGGACACAGTATATCACATGTAAGAAGACAAGCCAAAATCATGAATGCTCATTTTCAAATAGTACTCATTCTCTCTTCTTTGTGTTTGCAGGAAACTTCATAATGTAAGAGGAATAACTTTTCAGTTGAAAATCTTTATAAAGGTGTAACCTCATGGATGTCATTATAACCACAAAAAAATCTACACCTGTTAAGAACAAACCTATTTCCTTAAGGTCCACAATTTAGATTTTGTTCTTCCTGTAATCCTTTTGAACTTCCTTTCAGTCAGTGTTCAGTAACCTGTACTGAAATACCAGTAATTTAACAATGTTGAAAGGCTTTCAGACTTGCACCTGGTCAGACAGCTCCCCTCCTTCCCTTTAGAAATCCACAAATTATGCAAAATCACCGTATTAGTACAAAGCCACACACATTCAGCTGAAGTTCTGGCACAAAATGGGGGTAGAGCTCAGCTACGGTTTTAGTATAAGAAATCCTTCCAAAATTATAAAAGGTATAATTTTGACAGGAACTGACAGAAATTGGTACTTAAGGCTGTAGGATGATTTGAACTGCCTGCACCATGTTCCATATTCATTAGTTTATTTGACAGAAGATAGCAGACTCAGTCCAAAACCCAATTAAGAAAATGCCACAAGAAAAACCCCAGCTCTACAACTTTGTACCATCACAACAGGCACAGCAAAAATGCCCAAGATGAAACAGATCTTGGAGAAAGAACTGTTCTTCATGATTAAGAAGGGCTCCTTGAGACGGAAGGTGAGCACGCTGACAGAGTAATGCTAGGGAAGGAAAGCAGATGCTCATGTCGTATCTCTTCTGCAACAGGCACACACAGACTGAAAGGCTATTCTTCTACAGGGGCTAAATTCAGCAGCAAGAATATACAAATACAGAGGGAGCCTGCTCCAGAGTACTAAATCAAGCTAAAAAATAAAATCACAACACACTCCTTCACTTTAGTCGGAAAGTCTTTCAGAGAAAGAAATGGTGAAATAATATTTTCAAAGTCAGATCTAATGTGAAACAGAATCTGACAGATACGATATGATACATCAAGGCAAAACAGAAATTGAATGCAGTTTCTCTGAAAACTGATGAAAATCTACAGTAGTTTTTAGTACTGGTGGTGTGATCCTCAAAGGTATCACCACTAGCTACTGAGCAATTCTGATCTTATTCCAGTCCCTAGTTCCATCTCTCAGATATGCAATTTCTGCAAGAGGAAAGAGCTGAGGAGGTGAGATGAGCATTGAATCACCAATACTTTGTACTCCAGCACTCTGACACAGGCTGAGACCGTGTCCTCAGCAGCAAAAGTCGGTTGGGGTTTAGGCTGCTCTGCCTGGAGCTGTGCTCCCTGTGGTCCTCCTCAACACCTGACCTCGCCTTGTCAGAGGCTGCAAAAGTGGTGCTCAGCACAGCCCTAGATTCATTCTCTCTCTAATTGCCTCCCCTTCCCCAAGTTCAGTTTCTGACGGATCTCACCCTTTAGGGGCTGTAAGTAGCCTCACACAGTACTACGCTCTCTGCTCTGGCTGTAGGCTACTCCTTGCACACAGGGGTTGTTTCTGCAACCATCAGATTGCTTCATGCTAGTAGGGCAACCTAAAGAGACCTTAACGTAACTGAATCAGGCTTCTTGCTATTGGTCTTCAGAAGAAGTAGATTTACTCTGGCATTTGTCCCTCAGGTCCCCAGAGCAAGACATTAGCCACTGTACATGTTCCCACAGAACTTTTTGTGACTCATCATGGAAACTGGACAAGCTGAACTGCCATGGGCTTCAGCTGGCAGGACACGAATGAGAAATCACAGCACCTAAATGGGAGGAAACCTCTATTTTGCATAACACAGGCCGATCAGATTAACTCTGAGAAGTTTGCTATCGCATTAGATGCTTTCAAATGTCACAGAGGATTATTTGAGAGGACGGTTCTAGCAGACTCATCTATAGCCTTAACATGTCTTTCTGTTATGGCTCTTCCTATTCCTGCTCACATCCTTTGAGGATGTGGGATACAATTATCTACCAAAGGTAAAACTGATAAAGTTAGGACATTTTCAGAAAGCAAAACCAGGGAACCATAACGTGGGAGATTTGAATTCAGATATTGGGAAAGGGTATCTTGCCTCTACATGAGATAATGTCTCTTAATCTTTGAAAAGAACAACATGAATAATATTCTACTTTACAACAAGAATAAAGGCACAGCACAGCACTGCTTTTCTTTTAAAAAACTATCCATTGGCAGTACTGCGAATAGTATGAATACAATTGGTTAATAATTTATTGAGCTTTAAGAAAGAAGTCTGAAAACCTCCTGCAAATAACCTTCTGATCTCAAGTTTTGGTAAGAGAGATGTTGTACCAACTACCCTGCTGCTTGCTACCATAATTTAAGGAGTTTTAGTACCTGTGCTCACTTGGGGGAAACTCCAGTTTCAATCTGAAACTTGCAGCAAATCAATATAATCTGCATTACAATACATGGTCTGATTTAAGTGACAGGATACTTTAAAATGATCTCCCACTGTGTATCACTTTTATGTTTTATTGTTGAAATATTATTTCAGTACCAGCAATTTTGACTGGAAAAAAAAAAAAAAAAGACTGCTTTTGTTTCTGCCAGTGTCGGCTGCTTTATTTCATTGTTGCCTAAGTTATGTAACATTTTCAGTCAGTTCCACATTCACCACAGAGATTTATGTTAAATTATGACATTAACTTCACAAAACATGCCTTAAAAAAAAAAATGAACACAAAAAAACCCACCCAAAACAACCCACAGGAAATTCTACATAGATGACAATGTTTCTACCATTTCTATCTGCACGCTCCTCTCTCTCCCTTGGAGCTAACAGAGAAAAGGAAAGACTACTGACCAAGAAGCATCCATTTCTGATTCTTTCAGCAAAGTAGCAAACCCCTTCCAGACAATTTTATTGTATGATACTAATGCCTGATATTATTCTTTGAAACCTTAGCAGAACTGCTCTCTGAGTACATAATTTCTCTAATCCATCCTCACAGAAGAGGAAAAAAATAAAAATTAGAGGAGTGAGACAAATACAACAATGTAGTAAGTTGCCTACATCTCCTGATTTTTTTAAATATTATGTATTTGCTCAGGATACTATAAAACATCATCTTCTCACATTTTAAGAGAATAATATATTCAACACCGTGGCTGAAAATCACAAGTAATTAAGACATCAAGGTGGGTTTGACTTCACTTTATTTATCACGAAACTTAATAAACATGGGCAGAAATTATTTTTCTCTCAGAGATTCAGAAATACCCATACTTGGCTGTAAATAATATGGCCAAGGTCACCCATGAGGCCCATTGTATAGCCTGACCTAGTATGCAATTTTACTGAGTGTCAGTTCTAGCCTACAGTAGAGAAATTAAGATTATTAATGAAAGATAAATGAGAAAACAGTTTATAATGACTTACAGGAGGGTAAAGCAATTGTACCTGTAGATCCTTGACAATATCATGATACGGCCCTGCAGTCTTTCTCCTTACAAATAATCCACCTATAATACCATAGAGAGTTATGCACAGAAAAGGGTAACAGTAGTAAGAATAGAAACAAATTGATAATACTTATGAGATAGACAAGAAAACTAAAAGAACATTTTATATATGTTAACCTGGGATATTCAGAAATCCAGACACAACTATCAGAGGAGTAATCTCTAAGAACAAAGCCTTCTGAACAAGACATTAATAGGTATAGCGTGACTGGAATCAGGACTAAATGCCTCCATCTACACTAGCATGTAGGAGCAATTTGCTGATCAAAAAAGTTAGTGTTGAAGACCTGATACCCACACATTTGAGAGGTTTTTATTTTCAACTAGCCCTAATCCTGTCCCAAGGCTTCAGTCTGCTTTTGTAAAAAGAGCACGTGAGGTTTATTCCTGGCAATCCTGGTTTAGTTCTATCCAAATGGGATTCAGCTGAAAACCTCATCCTGAACCACAGCCCTGAAGCTGGGAATGAGCAGGAGATTCACTTCAAAAGCACACTCCTCCTGCAAACTTAAAACACTGTAACAAATGCATTCAATACACCTTGTAGAGCAAAATGAGTACACAGGCTAAGTACACTGACTAGTTATGAAAAAGGATGCTTAATAAAGAATAAGAACATGAAATTAGGCAATGGAAAAGGTTAGGTATCAAGATGTAAGAGACCTTAGAAGGGAAAACCATTAGACTACAGTATACCTGAGGGTAGATGTTTTCTATTCCTTGTCAGTGAACTCCTTGATTTTGAAGCATTTTACATAATGTAAAAAAAAAAAAAAAAAAAAAAAAAAAAAAAAAAAAAAGGAAAAGAAAAAAAAATACAAACACTTTGAAAGACTGGTAAATCCTTGTCTTAAAAGAAATTCTTGATTCACCTTCAACCATCATAACTTACTCAGCAACTGACTGTGAAAGAGTAACTATGTTGATAGAGTTAAACCAGAGTGGCTGACTTGTTACCAAATGCCATCTTTCATGTCATGAATATCTATGATTCTGTAAGAAATCATTTTGGAATCAAAGAATGAAACCTCTACAGAGTCCTGTGGGAAAACAGCATGAGTAGCCTGCGAGCCTGATTTTTTCAATGACCATGCTTATTTCAGTCCTATTTTCCAGCTGGCTGATCAGAAAGATACACAGATCAGGAAAGCACTCATCTTTCTGAATTTCTCCTTTTCTGCCTTTCATGAGCAAATCATTTTTCCATTTTAGTTTCCATAAGGGTGCTAATGGAAACCCATTTTGGGCTAAACAAATGATTAAGGCTAATGGATTGCTAATGCATAGTACGAGCAAAATTTTATGAAAGTCAAACTCTCAAATTCACATATCCACAAACAGGTGGAAGTAGATGTGGAGAGAACATTAACAGTAGAGATTGATTTCTGTGCATGAATCTAAGTGAAGTTACCGCACTTATATATGGGGAAGAAAAGGAAGAGGCACTGACAGCTATGAAAACAGTCAAACAGGGCACAGCAAAAATGCAGCTTTGTTACACATTTAAAACTGTGTACTGCTGTGGAGTGGCTTCCATTTTTAAACCTGCATTTATCTACTTTCAGTGTAATGCTAACCAAAAAAATTAGTTATATCCTGTTGTAAGTATTAGAAAAACTGTGAGAAGATCTCAGGTATCTTCATGGATCTACAGACATATTCTGCTGATTTGTCTTGGAAGCCAGAATATATGGTTTCTGTTCACTTCACTTCAGTGGATGAAAGCTAAAGAATCTGTGCAGAGAAAATATGAACTCACAGACAGCTCTGGGAGTTTTCAATTTAAGCAGCTCTGCTTGGTAGTTAAAGTTCCCTTTAAATCACTGCTGAAAAAGATTGCCAAAAATTAAAAGAAGGGGCATTTACAGAAAGGCCACAGAAAGTATTTATCACAGTAGCTTTAAAAAGATACCTATTACTCTGTGTCTGAAAAATTACATTTATTGCAAAATCATCTCTCTGGATTAAGCACAAAGATGTTTTATGCTCACCAGCTGCCCATTTTGAAGCAGTAATTAACCAAGAAACATAATTGAGACCCTATGTTAATATCACTGACAGAACAATTGAACAAAAAACCTAAGCTACTTTAAAAACAAGTTTTATTCCAAAACTGGAAAAAACAATGAGCATTAATTTCTGCACCATTTTTTCCTGACAGGATGTTAGCAGGCACAGTTATTGACTACACAGAAACCCTTCAACACTTCTTAATATTTTATGCTCATTTACTCAGCTTCTACTAAAATACCAACTGGAAACCCTTTTTTTAAAAAAAAAAAAATTAACAGAATTCCCAGTGAAAAGTTCACACAGTAAAGTTTGCAATCTGGCAAAGGTGTGCTGGAACTTGTCCAGCTGGTTCAACAGCATGTCTTAAAATATATACATCACAAACTGCGAAGAGTATGTGTTCTTTGGCATATGCATGCAATATACTTTGAATCATTCCATGTTTAACAAATTTTAACTTTACCTCTCACTTCACTGATGTGTTTAGACAATAGGATGACAGCCATTAAAAAGATGACATTTCTATTATTTTATTGTTTGTGTCATAGTTTTTATGTTATTAAGGTGTAGGGGGGTTATATTTAATTTATTGAGGTCTCAAAAAAAAAAAATCTGTTCCAAGAAATTGCTTCAAATATGTGAAGAGAAAAGAAAATGTAGTCTTATTCAACAGAATCGGTGTTTTAGTTTTCTCTGTATGGATCATAGATTTGACCCTTTCTTAATGCCTTGGTGGTATAAAATCACTCTGCAAATGCAGTGGGGTACTCTCTCTTAACAGAAGGACCACTCTGGGAATGAGAAGCAACTCACTGTATTTGTCAAATCCACTTTTTCTTGTCTTCATAAGGTGAGAAGTTCCACTGTCTTATTTTCCTATAGCAAATGCCTTCATAGCATATTTTTTATTTAATATCTCATTCTGGTTGTAGTATTTCCCATAAATTATTTTTAGTACTTCTCATGCTTAGAGAAATGCACAAATATTATCTAGGTGTGGTGGTTTAGGCCCTGCCGGGACCAGAGACCACATTGTTGTTGTCCCTCCCCCACCCTCAGCCGGTCAGGCTGGCAGTGAGGCACAAACCCTGGGTTAAAATAAGAAGAAATTTAATACAACAGTGTGATAAATAACAATTTGAACAACAACAGTAGCAATGATAACAACAATAAATAGCAATAACAGTGAACAAGACAAAAGATATACAGGGAAATACTGCAATGGTTACGGACAGCCTGCCGTGTGATTCCCATCACCAAAGCCACAAAGGAAAAAGTTCCCACGCTGCCATGCCAGACCTGACATCAGTATGGTATGAATAACCCGGCTGGAGATCCCTTCCCCTCTCTGCTGGGGAAACTTAACCCTATCCTAGCTGAACCAAGACATAATCCACCCCTTTATTCTATACCATCTGCATCATGCCCAGATGCCATTTAGCAGTTCACACTAACAAAACAACGATTAACAAAGGCACAGTATAATTCACGGTATGTTCTTACTCAAAATCAAGACCCCCTGTGGTACGCATCAGACCTCTCCATTGTCCTGCATCACCCACCAGGTGCACCCAGGTCCTTGGGCAAAAGCAATCCCGTGGATGGGTTTGCCTTTGCCTGGCGCAGGACTAACCCAGACCATTTTTCCCAATATATTCCTCATGCGCACCACAGGGACTTTATCCCCATCTACAGCACGTGGAGGTCTCGACTGAGCCAGGCCAGCTCGACTAGCAGATCCTCTTGTGTTGACTAGCCAGGTGGCCTTTGCTAGATGCATGTCCCAGTCTCTGAAGGTCCCACCTCCCAGTGCTTTCAATGTGGTTTTTAACAGTCCATTGTAGCGCTCGATCTTCCCAGAGGCTGGTGTGTGGTAGGGGATATGGTAGACCCACTCGATACCGTGTTCTTCTGCCCAGGCATCTATGAGGATATTTCAGAAGTGGGTCCCGTTGTCTGACTCAATTGTCTCTGGGGTGCCATGTCGCCACAGCACTTGGGTTTCAAGGCCCAGGATGGTGTTCCGGGTGGTGGCAAGGGGCGCTGGGTAAGCTTCCAGCCATCCAGTGGTTGCTTCCACCATTGTGAGCACGTGGCGCTTCCTGTGGCAGGCCTGTGGCAGATCGACTACACTAGGATTTATGCAGAATAGATAAAAATCTCTGGAGTGTGAGCTAAAAAAGCATGTCTTTATTTAGGTACAACTGTTCTAAGTATATGCCATATAATGTCTTCACTGCAATAGTCTATTAAGGTATGTTGCACAGTTCCCGGACATATCCAGCATTGATTTCAATTTTATTTTTTAATAATGATTAGAGGATAATCTTTCCTTTTGGGAAGAATTTTCTTGCCAAGTTACACAAATTGTTATGAGATTTTTATTAAACTCTTTGCATAATATATATGATATCTCATTAGCTCATTTTAACTCTGAGTAATACAGCAGTTTAAAGTGTTTGCTCCTACTTCTCTTAGAGCAGCATATTTTCTTATAGGATATTCAATATCAGTAATAAGTTACAGACTTCATCCCAGCTCTGTCTTCTATAATAGTTGTCAGCTATTTGGACATATAACCCTATGCTTTCTTCAGAAGTCCATATTTGTTCCAGAGAGATTATTTCTTACAGATCCCTTTACCTCCTGACCCAGAGTCTGCCACCGTAGCGCCCATCTGACCTTCTTGCTGAGGTTTGTGTCATAATTCCCACAGCAGCATTAAGCTCAGCAACCATCAAATGTGATTTTACATGGCTCAAGAATTTCACCCAACTCGCCATTCAAGTAGCCTAACTAGCACTTTGTTAGCTGTCTGCTGGTTTTGAGACAATGTTTCTTGGCAGGATAAAATTATTTTACCTTATTCCCCCTGTGATTCGACACAAATGACAAAGTCAATCATTTAGTTTTCAAATCCAGTCCTAATTACAGAGTTGGAGAGTTGAGGAAGAGGGTGAAACCCTTCTATAACTACTGGCAGCTTGTTTAGACCAAAAGATTTTAAAACACAATACTTTTCTTTCAACAGAAAATACCTAACAACTGGCACAATAACCTACCTAAAAGCAAAAGATGGTGCTGCCAGACACTAGGCACACTAATGTATTTTGGATAGGGTGGATGAACTGCAGCCTATTAAAGATAATTGAAAATTTCTGTTAAGTTTTATGTCACCTAAGGTGCTAAAGTCTTGGGAGTTTGGGTTTTTTCCTTTCCCTGTAGGAAAATATTTTTATTGTAAAATTCTGAAATATTTGAAAGGATCAGAGAACTATGAACTGAAAGGAACATAAACTTTAAAATTAAAGAAGAGAATGGAAATTTTCATCTTGCACAAGCATCAAATGATGCCTTGTTTTTATTTTAGCTAGATTATTGAGATGTGTGATTGGTGTGAGAGAAGTTCAAAACAAGAAAAAAAAGGAAAAAAAAAGAAAGAAAAAAGCGCAAGCTGTTGATTTCTTCATAGATTCTATTGCAGATACTTTGGAAGGAAGATAGAGAAAACAGAAAAGATGAAACTGAATAAAAGGTCTTAAAGAAATACGTTCTGTTACGATTGACCATCTGTTTCTCACTGGAGCCACACATCTCCTTCCCTAGCTGTCTTGCACATATGATAAGCTGCACCTCTGGATACCTGGACACTAAGAACCCAACTCAAAACTTACAGAATAGCATTTCCAGATGCTCCTGTTTAGATCATCTAGCTATCATCTAATTTAGGCTCTGTTCTCTGCTGGAGGTGAAATCAAGTCATGCATAGAATCCCTACAAAGCCTATGAGTCACTCAAGTCCTACTTGAAACAGTTTAAGGACAAAACTCATTCCAGTTTAACGACAGGAATTTTGGTAAGAAAAAGCAGACCAAAATGCACACTACTGCTAAATTTATTATAAAACTTCAGTAGCATTGCACAAGCTTTTTATATCAGAAGTTCACTATTCTGCAGCCCCTTATCATTCCAAGCTTTGGAGTTCCCCGACAAGCTTGTAAAATATACCAATAAACTAAGCAGCTTTGTCCTGAACTTGAGCCAGGATGTGACAACTATTCTGGGTACATTGCTTAAAATCAAATCGCTGTTCCTCTGTCAAATTCAATTATGACAACATCACTTTTTCTTATTTTTTTTAAATCATTTTCTTTCCCTCAGTATTGTTTACAACTCCTTCCAGTCTCACAGAGTTAACAAATTGTAGTCCTCTGCAAGAGTGTTAGCAACAGCATTGGCAGAGATCCTGTGTTGTCCCTAGGTTCCAGGTGACACAGGAGAAGGGAAGGACTGCTGAAATCTGTACTGGCTCTTCAACTGGCAAGTTGCATGTACAGCTTTGGGACCACTCCGCTGTACACCAGCTGGCAAATACAAACGGGGAGAGAAGCAGAGCTTTACTCCCACAAAAATATCAAGGTTTCAACATCTTTCTACAGTCACCCCTGGAACTAAAACAAAATCTTAAAGCAAACTAAGGGAACAATACTGAACACCAAATAGTCTTGAGATCTGAACAGCCTCCTGAGACCTGGGAGACCAAGCTCTAAATTGACCATAGCAAAGACACTAACCTGAGATTCATCTGCTATGGAGGTGTTACAATACCAGCTATCCAGGAAGATGTATCTGGGTAAGATAGTGTGGGTGCTTGTATATGGTTCACTTTCCAAATTTCACCCAAACTAGAATTCTGATGAAGCACTGTCTTTTCTGAAAAACCATTGTGACAGAAAACATTTGGGCAGATTTATTGCTGGTACTTCCAAACCACAACTTATTGACTAGTCAGTTCTGCTGGGCACGTTGCAGGAAATTCACAACTGGCTTGGATGATACCAAATCCTAGATCCTTCTGTCATCAGAGCTAAAATGAGGATCTGGACCACTACATTAGAGTTACAAAAGTGCTATAAGAACCCACTGGCAACAAGTCTACCTTTAAATAGAGACACATAACTGACAGTGTGGATTATGTTCATTTAGATAGCCTGGTTTATAAAAAATCCTCTTCCAAATCTCCCTCTTCTTCATTCTTAGCCTAGAGCCTAGTACTCAGACATGGGACTAGCTCTATCTACAATGTCTTAATCACTATTTTTTTCCTCACTGCAGCAAACTGCTTAGTTTTGCAGCTGATCATAAGACCCATTGATACCACTAATGGCAGTTCTAAAATGCATTCCAAATGTGACTGGAAGCCCAATTCTTTCTCTTTTTTTAACCAATCCATACTGTATGTCCTTTCCCTTGAGACTCTTAAGGTACCTGAAGAGGCTGATTACAATTTTTTGTTATTTACTGGGGACTGGGTTTAAATCCACTATACCATGAACGGGTTCAGATTTCTTTGTCTTGGGTTTTCAGTAAGTTCATAAAAATGCCAGTATGCACTGATGAGAATTATATCCCAGAAAGAAATGATGGCTTGATATAATTAGCTTCTTGGCAACCCTGAGCAAATCACAGGCTTGTAAGTCTTGAACAGGGAGAAACATATCTGATGTATGGCTGGAGTTCAGTAGCGTACTGCCATTTTCAAAATCAGTATACCTGGAAAGGCAAGGATGAATCAGAGAAAAAATAAAGTAATGCTTAAAGTAAAATAAGTATAAACACAAATAACTTTGTATAAGGAAGTCCACAAGTTTGGGCATGTGGCAGAAATGGAAACAGAATCATCACAGTGAATATTTGTGCATAGCCCAGAGAAGAAAAGATTTCCCAACTTCAGCTGAATAGAATGTAGTGACTGCATTGAGATGCTGAATCTCAACTTGCTGTGAACCGACTGACTCTCCCCAACTACTTCCTCTTAGCCATCCTCCACTCCTCTCTAGCAGGAGGGGAAGAAATGAAGGAAAACAGGGTGAAGGCAGGAAGGAGTATGAAGAAGAAAAATAAATCACAATTCACACTCCCAGCTGACAGGACACTGACCATTTGGCGTGCTTAATGAGAGCCCTTCTACCCACCATGTCAGTCTGTCTGACTGAATCGCTCTCAACACGTGCAGCTCTACCTGCACACCTTCAGGGTTTCCCTGTGGTTCCCTGTGGCCTGGGGTGACCATCCCTCCCAAGGAGAGCTCCAGCCCAGCTCTTCAGCTGCTGTCCAATGCCCTGGTGCTTGCCAGGTCACTCGCACTTCCTGACAGCTGTACCTTCCCCATGACACTATTTTATTATGAAGTGCACTGCAAAGGATGATGCTTCACCTGTCTACATCTGGAGGTTAAGATATTAAAGATTTTACGTCGAAGACATGTTTTTTCCCTCTGTGGAAAAATATTCCTTAGTAAAGTGACACAAAACATCATAGCTGAAGAATTCAAAGATGGTTATGGTGTTTATATATGCTACAAACAAGAGTATTTTGAAACTAGGCACAGCCTGAGGACTATGAATAAGATCTTCCTGTACATGTTATTTTTTGTTGCATTTTTTAATAGGGAATCCCCAAAGAGGAGTTCTAAACACTGATTGATTTAAGTGATACTGGAAATACAATTCTATCTCTTTTATTGGACCTGCTTACAAAACAAAAGGGGATTAACTGAGTTGGGAGATGGGGAACAGAGTATGATTTTATCCA